GAAAAGATGGTCCAAACTGATGCTCTTTAAAATAGAAAAATGTTGGTTTCAAAAGTACATCAAGATCCTATTAGAGCCAAACGCGAACCCTTTGACAGTCCCTCCTTCTACACTTCATCGTATCTTATTCAAGGATCAATATGAATTATGTTTTGTAAAGTACATATTTGGTGTTTTAGTTTTATACTGTCGCAAAACTATTATAGATAGAAATAAAATCATTTTTTCTATGTATAGGTACATATGTAGTGTTTTAGTTTATAAATGCAGAATAAAGAGCTTAGCTAAGCATTAACACAGCGTAACAGCTACATTAAAGATTTAGATTACGTTTTCATTTCGTATTTAACTTGCTGACAATGCAAAAGAGCAATTATAGACAATATAATTAAATTAACTGAAAGGAAAGAATAATATATATTAATTGTAAACGAGTGTTTTGATTTTAAAATTGTTCTTACTGTAATGTAGGTGTGAATATGGTGCATTAACAGGTATATGTATTTCTTAATTGTTCTTTTCGGTTGGAAAATCTTGATAATATTACGTAATAACGTACTGATTAAAGTAAAAAGATAATAAAGAAGCATTTGCTGCAGATTTATTAGAGGATTCCATGCATAGAGTAACGTAGTATTGCTTGCTGCTCACAAAGAAAATCTATTGAGTAACTGAGTACCTAAAACAAAAGTGATTAATACCAGGGAATAATTAATAATTGTAAGCATTAGGTCCATTTCATTAAGAAATTCTACTTCATAAAGAACACGATGTTTTCAAAGAACTTTTGTCTTCGCAAAGGCATCTTCCGGTGGAAGAGATATATTTCAATCAATTCTTTAAGCTGTTGCGTTCTTCAGGTATTATAAAACTATCGATAAAACTCTAACAAAAACTTAATTTTAATTTCGAGTATGATGGTATAAAAACTTACATGAAAGAATTGAAAGTACAGTAGAACCTTAATAACTTAAACCTTGATAAACGAATAATTTGGACATCGCAGCTCAGTAAGCAGTGAAAAGTGGTTTGAGTCGGGAGAAAGTCTTCTATGTAAAAGACGAAGAATTGCTGAATTTCCTAATTTATAAGAATGCTTATTGTTTAGACATGGTTTAGACAGTGTAGAAATAAAAGCATTATTGTTGATGGACCTATAGTAAATGAAAAAGCTGAAGAGTTTGGTAAGTCACTGGAAATCCATAATTTTAAAGCTTAAACTTAAACCCTTAGTAAGTAAAAACCTCAATAACTCAAATTATTTTACGTTTCCCTTGGTTTTTATCTTACCGAGGTTCTACTGTATTAGCTTTACATTTAGCAAATGTTGTACAGAATCATAAAATTTAATGAGTATACATATACTTTGTCCACCCCTTTCCAAAATTCACATCGTCCTGTATACTGACTTTCATTCATTAAAGTTCATTTTATGCCATATCGAGTAGGTATTCATAATCAAGTTCATATACCTGGTCAACCAAAAATTTGCTTCCGTTCGAAAATTTATTTTCAAAATATCTGTTTGATATATATGTACATACATGGGACGTTTGGCAAATTCACCTTTATTAACTTTCAAATTGCAACGCGCAGCCATATGTAAGTGGTTACTTTGACTTGGAAATAAATCGGATGCATATGATTATTGCTCCCTAACGTCTTTCGTACTACATCATTCTCACAGTATCGAAAGGAAATAGTTACCGATCTGAGCGGCTCTGATATATCTGTTTAAGTGTCCGAGTGCCTTAAAAAGGTATGACGTCAGTTTTCGAATCTTCGTAATACCACTAATGATTACAGGTAACATATTAACATTAAAAATCTATTTGCTTTATTTATACGTTTCATTTTTTTTACGAAATTAGTAATAATAATCAAATTAGTTTTTGAAATCCTTTGTACTATCTTCCCCAAGGATGATATTAATAAAAAGTTGCGTTGCGAAAAGGGGCCAAATCCTCATTATTTGTTACGTAATCTCCATGCAGACGTTTCGTCTTTTCGGTTCAAGTTTTATCAAGGTTACAATGTATTTATTATGAACACAAAATGTAGTTTTTATCTAGTTATTAGGAATATAATTTTTATTAGATTCAATTACATCAGACGAAGACATTGGAAGTTCCTTCTTTTTGAAATTCATGTAATGTTTTATCCTCAAATTATGGTTTTAATTTGATGTGGTTGATGTTATTGTAAAGAAAACCCATTAAATTCAGGTCTAGTTGAAAAAATCAAAACAATTGAAAAAACGTAATTCCCAAACTATCAAATATCATTAATACACTTTATGCATTTAAACTTTTCTACTTTCGCTTGGGGTTATTTTGCTTTCTTTAAATCCTATTAGAACGTTGGCCTCTGGCTTCTACTGTGTTTAGGTGTTTCACTCTTTTCACTGTGAATTCTGAAAAATGATCAAATTTTCCGTCATTTTCTTAAACAATACCTTTGTGGTTGTGGTAAGAATACTATTAATAAAGGCCTTCGCCTGGTGCAGAACGACTACTCGTTTCGATGAAGCATAACAAAATAATTTTTTGTTGAAATAAACCATTTATTCCAGCGTTCATAATGAAGATCAGAGGTGTCGTATNTTAACAGACAAGTCTACTACCAGAAATTGGGATCCCAACAGGATTTCGATAGCAAGCCAAACGATTGGGATGACGCACTTCCGTTTGAAAAAATCCCTGGTCCAAAACCTCTTCCCATAATAGGAAATACTTTTAGATTTTTGCCCTATATTGGAGACTTCTATGGTGTTGACCTGAAGGAATTACAAAGGCGATTTTACAAACAATATGGTAGAATTGCCATACTGAAAGACTTGAAAGTAGCCAAAAATATAGTCCTACTATATTCTCCAGAGGATATAGAAAAGGTAACGGTCTAACGATGTAATTAGTTATAACACAAAAGGCAAATACTAAACTAATTGACAGACTATTTTCCAAAAAAAGTGTTTGTTTTTTAATACTACAGTACAAATAAATATGATATATAGATAGATGAGATTTAATTGATAAGATTGATAATATTTTGTAGTTACATCGAAACGAAGGCGTTTGGCCTCACAGAGAGGTCCTTAATTCATTTACATACTATCGCAATATACTAAGAAAGGACATATTTCAAGGAATTGGTGGAGTAGCAACTGTGTAAGTTATAAAAGTTATAAAAGCTATCGCATATTTTAATACGTCCAGTAAAATCTGATTCTTTTATTTCAAAAAGGAATCTGAAACAAAATATTTCTAATGACTTTAATTCAATCATAACACAGGGTTGTAGAAATTCCTTAGTTGTTGTTGCTCTTTACGTTAAAATACAATATCGAACATCTTTAGGGTATCGAATCAGAACCGATTCATTCTCTTGATGTGAAGATGACAATTTAGGTGTTTGCCAAAAACCTTCTAACGTAGATATACTTTTACTTTTCTTTTACGATTAGTGTTGAAGGTTTTTCAGTTTCTCACAAATTATTAGTGCCTATTACATATTACAGGCAAGGAGAAGATTGGTTCAATATTCGTTCCAAAGTTAATCCAATACTCATGCAGCCAAGGATGGCTCATCAGTATATAGATAAAATGGA